TAAAGAAGGATAAACTGATCTCCAGAAAGATTTGCCTCCATCTGGTGGTCAAATGACTAAGACAATTCAAATAAAACCCCTCCTGTGCCGAGATCTAAAAACACGTTTGTACACGAGGGGACTCTTATTTTGAAGCTGTTGCTTCCTCACAGTGTTGCCTCCATCTTCTTTCGGGTGGTCAGCTGATCGTCAAACCCCAGAAACCACCCCCCCCTCATCCTGATTTGTCTCCCCCAGGACGTCTACCCCCAGCAGGGGGCTGATCGGGGCTGTGGCGGAGGCCGTCTTTACCTTCCATCAATGTGTGAGTAACCCCTGGTCCTGGCCTTAGTCCTTGTCCTGTTCCTGGTTCTGTCTCAAATCCTGGTTCTGGTCCTGGTTCTGTCTCAAATCCTGGTTCTGGTCCTGGTTCTATCTCAGAACCAGGACCAGGACCAGTCTCAGATCCTGGCCTTGGTCCAGGTCCTGGTTCTGTCTCAGATCCTGGCCCTGGTCTTGGTCCTGGCTCTGTCTGAGCTCCTGGTCCAGATCCCAAAGCATCAGATGGCTTTTCACAGCAAATGGGGTCTGACTGCCCCTTCCTGTTCAACTTTTAGCCGTTTCAGATCAGGTTTCCTCTGACCACCATCTTCTGACCCACAGGGAGGAATCCCCCGAGCCAACGCCCCCCTCAGCCGGTGCTGGCACCCCCGCCAGCCTCCTCCCCGGCCCCCCCACCGGCAGGTCCCCCAGCCCCCAAGAACCCCACACCCCAGCATGAGGCTACTCGGGACTCTCCCTGACGCTGTGACTTTAAATGAATAAATGCTGTTTTCTGGTTTAAAGACGTGTGGTCTCCATCTTTAGTCTCCCCCTCGGAGCCAGGTTGGGACTCCCGGTTTTGAAGGGTAAGAACAGAGAAGACTGCAGTCTCAGAGCTTCAGAAAATATCTTTACTGGAGACTCCGACCGTCCAGACTTCCTCCTTTTCAGTTCCCCACAGGTTAGCAGCTTTCCTGGAGCCACCTTCAAGCAGGTGGAGGCCATCTTGTTGGGTGCCATGGCAACCACCCATGTGAAGAAACTGGTGTTGTCATTTGGGATGAACAGCAGAGCCCTGAAAACCAGAGCGAAGGTCATAAATCAGCAGCAGGGAGAACTGAGGGCTGCAGAGATTTGTCCTCATTCCTCTCCTAAACACTCCTGTGACAAAAAAAACCCCTACCCCCCCCCCCCCTTCCACAGCAGGCTGTTCCAGGCAGCGGAGGCGCTGCTCCACTGGTCCCAGCTGACAGCTGCTGCTTCATAGCAGCCAGATGCTGGCCCAGACCCAGGTGTGCAGCCAGAGGCAGAAGAGCCACGCTCATTCGTGTCCAGCTACTTTTGTACTACAGAACCTGCTTTTTAATGGAGTCTGTTCAACCCTTCACTTCCCTGGACTGACACCAGAACTCTGACTCTGCCCCATTAATTTATTTTCTGCCTGACCCAAAAACAAATGTTCTCCCAGCTACAACCCTAACTCAGTTCTGACCCACCTATTTCCAACTGGACACAGACCCACTCTGGAATCCCACTGGACCAGAAGCCTAACCCTCACCACAACCTCACAGACCTGACAGAGACCACATGGAGAGATGCAGATATCTGGAACTGGTCTCATCCACTCAGCTCATTCTGCCCATCTTTAACCAGAAGAGTCACAGAACGCCAGCAGCAAGCTTGTTAGTGTCTGAAAACTGCGACTCAGATCTCTACCCCAACAGGAAGCTGGACCCTCTGTGAGCCCCTTTCTGAGCCAGCCCTGCAGCTTGCTCTTCTGCATCTTGGGTAGAGCCCATTTACTGAGCAGGCCCAATTGGGGCCCCTCCCTGGGCTGCCACCTTATCGTGGTGGAGGGGTTTGAGTGTCCCAGTGATCCTAGGAGCTATGTTGAAGTGCAACCCAAAAGACCCCCAATGATGAGTTACAAAAATGGGCCAAGTGAACCCTCACCTGGACGCGGGTCATCGGGGTCCCACCCTGGAGCCAGGCCCAAAGGTGGGGCACGATGGCACCTGGTGGCCGGGCTTTAGCCCATGAAGCCCGGCCGGGCTCAGCCTGAAGAGGCCACATGGTTCTCCCCTCCATTGGACTCACCACCCATATGAGGGACCAAAGGGGTCGAGTGCAGTGTGGAGCGGGTGGCAGCCGGAGTCGGGGACCTTCGCGGACCGATCCCCGGCTGCAGAAGCTGACTCTGGGGACGTGGAACGTCACCTCTCTGGTGGGGAAGGAGCCTGAGTTGGTGTGCGAGGTGGAGAGATTCCGGCTGGACGTAGTCAGTCTCGCCTCGACACACAGCTCTGGCTCTGGAACCAGCCTTCTCGAGAGGGGTTGGACTACTCTGGAGTTGCCCTGGGGTGAGAGGCGCCAAGCAGGAGTGGGCATACTCGTTGCCCCCCCATCTTGGTGGGGAGGGGGAGTGGGGAGGGAGGGAGTTAGGGAGTAGGGAGAGTGTTAGGGAGGAGGATGGAGTTAGGGGGGAGGGAGGAGTTACGGGGGAGAAGGGAGAGAGTTAGAGAGGGAGGGAGAGAGTTATAGCAGAGGGAGGGAGGGAATTAGCGAGGAGTTAGTGGGGAGGGAGGGCAACCACCCTGCCGTGGGAGCTGGGGGAAGACGGCGCTAAGGTGGGGGGGCCTTACCTTGGGATGGAAGGTTTCATTTGGTTCTGATGGAGGGTTCCTCTGGTTCTGATGGAGGGTTCCCCTGGCTCTGATGGAGGATTCCCCCTGATTCTGATGAAGGGTTTCATTTGGTTGTGATGGAGGGGTTCCCCTGGTTCTGATGGAGGGTTCCCCTGGTTCTGATGGAGGGTTCCTCATGTTTTGTTGGATGTAACGAACTGTTTTGGACCCAAAGACACCCAGAGACGGTACGGTCAGTTAACAGAGTTTATTACAGGAAAGGGGTGTGGTCAGGGAATTCCATGTTCGGCAACAGGTAATCATAATCCAGCGACAGTACCAGGGAAAATCCAAACCGTGGTCCAGGTCCGGTCAAGTGTCAGAGCCAGGGAATCAATCCAAAGGGGCAGGCTGGAACTCGGAGTCACAGGCAGGCGGGGTCGGTACACAGGGAGGCAGGCTAGATCCCGAGACTGGCGAAGCAGAACTCAGGCGGCAGACAGGTCAGACAGGGATCAGGCAAACTCGGGAATCGAAGGCAAACAGGTCGGGATCAGGCAGGCAGAATAACTATGAATCGCTGGAAGTTCTTACCCATAGGCTTGAGACGTTCTGGCACTGGAGGCTGGTTGGAACGGAGCTTAAGAATAGTTGGTGACAGGTGATTACAGTACGGTCGATTGCGGAGTGTGGAGGCTGAACCAGAGAGAGATGGTAGGTGGAGCCAGTTCCAGTGCCAGAACGTCACAATAGAGGGTTCATCTGGTTTTGGTAGTGGTTTCCCCTGGTTCTGACGGTGGTTTCCCCTGGTTTTAATGGAGGGTTCCTCCTGGTTCTGATAGAGGTTACTTTTGGTTCTGATGGAGGGTTCCTCCTGGTTCTTATGGAGGATTCCCCTGGTTCTGATGGTTGTCTTCCCTGGTTCTGATGGAGGGTTGCTCCTGGTTCTCATGCACGGTTTCATTTGGTTCCAATGGAGGGTTCCCCTGGTTCTGATGGAGGGTTGCATTGGTTCTGATGCAGGGTTTTCCTGGTTCTGACGGAGGGTTCCTCTGGTTGTGATAGATGGTTCCCCTGGTTCTGATGGAGGATTCTTCATGTTCTGATGGAGGGCTCCCCTGGTTCTTATGTAGGGGATCACCTGGTTTTGATGGAAAGTTCCTCATGTTCTGATGGAAGGTTCCTGTCACGTCTTGGTGTTTTGTCCTGTCTCCATGGTTTTCTTGTCATTTCGTGTTTTATTTTGAAAGATACATCCCCTTGTTTCAGGTCTCTTGCACTCCCCTGTGTGTCACATGTCTGCTTAGGGTCTTCCCTGATCACCAATTGTGTTCACCTGGGGTTCCCTTCCCTTGTGTTTAAATAGTTTGAGTCTCTCCTTGTCTGGTGCCAGTGTGTTTTGTCTTTCTTCCTTGTCATACTGAGTAACCCATCATAGTAATCCTTGTCCATTCCTCCTGATTCTGATAGTGTTTCCCCCTATTCTAATGCAGGGTTTCATTTGATTCTAATTGAGGGTTTCATTTGGTTCTAATGAAGGGTTCCCCTGGTTCTGACAGAGGGTTTGTCATGTTCTGATGGATGGTTTCATTTGGATCTGATGGAGGGTTCCCTTCAGACCTGTTTTAACCCTTAAGACCTGATTTTAACACAGATTTCAGTAATGAGGATGCAAATTCGTGAGAATTCAGATAAACATCTTTATTTGCAGCCCCACTATTTCACAGTTTGAATAAACCATTGTTTGGTTCAACAAGTTTGAAAATGGTACGAATGGCTTTTTAAAATGTATTTATTTTCGGAAACCTCCAGAACGCCTAAAATCCGATTCATTCAGTGGATTCAGTTTCACAGAGAGGCTAAAAAAAAAAAGTTCCATCATTTCAGCTTCTGTATGTCTGGAAATAGTGGACCAAATCCAGTTCAGGAGTTGGACTGGACTCAGTTCAGGAGCTGGACCGAAACCGGATCAGGAGCTGGACCGAAACCGGATCAGGTGCTGGACCGGGTCAGGAGCTGTACTGGACCTGGATCAGGAGCTGGACGGGACCCGATTCAGGTGCTAAGCTTGGTCTGGTTCTGGACGGTGTGATTCTGGTTCTGGACGGTCTGGTTCTGGATGGTCTGGTTCTGGATGGTCTGGTTCTGGATGGTCTGGTTTTGGGGCTGGACAGTGCTGTCCTGGATCCGGTCCTGGCTCCGGTCCTTGCTCCGGTCCTGGACCTGGATCCGGTCCTGGCTCTGGTCCAGGACCTGGTCCTGGATCCGGTCCTGGACCCACTGCAGGTAGTTGGACACCCGGGTGTAGATGCCGTAGTTCCCGGGCTGCGCGCAGCCGCGGCCCCAGCTCACAATGCCCAGCAGGTAGGCCGTTCCTCGGTATTCCGTCACCAGCGGGCCGCCGCTGTCTCCCCGGCAGGAGTCAGTGCGGCCGTCCGGGTACCCGGCGCAGAACATGTTAGGGGTCAGCCGGACCCCACTCTTCTCTACGCAGGTCTGCGTGCGCATGCGCGGCACCTGCGTGCGCCGCAGCACGTTGGACGTGGGCCCGTGCTCGCTGCGGCGGCCCCAGCCGCTCACCGTGTGCAGGCGCACCGCCCACAGCTCACGCTCCGCCAGCAGCCGCGTGGGCAGGCAGACTGGGACGGCGAACGTGCCGTAGCGCAGCGGCGTGGCCAGCCGCAGCAGGGCGATGTCGTGGTCCACTGTGGCACGCGAGTAGCTCTCGTGCGTGACGACCTCCGCCACCGGGACCAGCTGCTCCGTGGACTCATTGACCTGGATGTTGTGCTCGCCTGGGCGACGGTGGAGCGGGAGGAGAGGACGGGTTAGGGTGGAGAACCGGACCGGTACCCGGAACAGGACCCGAACCCGCATCCGAAACCAGACCAGGAACCGGAAGCGGAACCGAACCCACAACCGGAACAAGACACGGAGCCGGAACTGGGCCCGGACCAGGAACCGGAATCGGAGCCGGAATTGGAGCCGGACGGTGGCTCTCTCACCTGCAACCACCTTCAGGAACCTGCGGTCGGTGTTCTCCAAGCAGTGCGCGGCGGTGAGGATCCAGGTGGGTTTGACGATGACTCCTCCGCAGAAGCCTTTGCCTTTGTACACCAGAAGAACCTGCAGAACCAGAACCAGAAGCATGGCGTTCCGCCCGCTCTTGGTGTCAGTGGCTTGGAAGCTCTGGACTCACCTGCCACGGACATTCGCCTTTGGGACACTCGGTTCCGCCCACAATCCGGAGACGCTCGTCCTGGTTCTGCTGGTTCTGCAAAACCGGAACCATGCCGCAAGCTATGGACTCTGGAACCAGACAGGAGAACATTCACTGCTTTTGTCCCGCTGTGTTCCACAGAAAAAGGAACAAGAACCAGAACCTGCTGAAGAACCAGAACCTGCTGAAGAACCTGCAGCTGATCCATAACCTACAGCAGATCCAGCAGCAGAACCAAAACCTGCTGAAGAACCAGGACCTGCCGCAGACACAGAACCAACAAAAGATACAGATCCTGCACCAGAACCAGCAGAAAAAACAGATCCTGTAGCAGAACCAATACCTTCAGAAGAACCAGAACCTGCAACAGAAACAGAATCTGCTGCAGAACCAGAAACTGCAACAGAACCGGAACCTGCAGCACATCATGAACCTGCAGAAGAACCAGAACCTTATCAGAACCAGAACCTGCAGCAGATCAAGACCCAGCAGCAGAACCACAACATGCTGCAGAAAAGGCACCAGAACCTGCAGCAGAGACTGCAGTAGGACGAGGACCTCCAGCAGAAACAGAACCTGCAGAAGAAACAGAACCAAAACCTGCAGCAGAACCACTAGCAGATCCTGAACCAGAACCTGCAGCACAACCAGAACCTGTAACAAAAACAGAACCAGCAGCAGATCAAAAACCTTCACCAGAACCTGCAGCAGATCCAGAACCAGTAACAAATCCAGAACCAGCAGCAGAACCAGCAGCAGATCCAGAACCAGAACTTGCTGCAGAACCGGAACCTGCAGGATATCCTGAACCAGAACTGGTAGATAATCCAGCGGTGTGGGTCTGACCTTTGGGGGCGCAGCTGCGGCCGTCCTGGTCCAGCTGGTAGCCGTCGGCGCAGGAGCACCTCAGCCGCCGTCCGAAGGCATCCTCCTCACAGAAGTGCTGGCAGCCCCCGTTCAGCAGCAGGCAGCTGCTGGACCCGGTTCCCGGTTCTGGACCCGGAACCAGCCCACAAGGACAGGATTCAGGGGGGCAGCCCCAGGGGAGCAGGCCCAGGCATGGAGCTGCCCCAGACATGGAGCAGCCCCAGGCATGGACAAGCTCAAGGCAGGGAGCAGCCCCAGGCATGGAGCAGCCCCAGGCATGGAGC